CATATACATATATACATATATAAAAATGGGCCTATCTCTTTCAACCAGATTTTAAACTCTAGTCTCTTGATGTGAATGCACTTGAAAAATTAATGTAGGCCTGTCTTAATAGAAAGTTACACACGTCGTTAGTGAGTTATGTGTGGACTAACTACATTTGTACGTTTTGCCATGTGTCTGTTTCCATTCTTGTGAATTGGAGCGAAATCGTGCCTTTTTGTAGTATAAAACAAGGATATTATTTCTTCTTGTTTTGCTATATGCAGACAAGTTTTAACGAGTGGACAAGTCTTTTGATCAGTGTTTTCCACTTTTGCTTGTCCTTGTATCTCTAGAATTGCTCAGTATTTGTTGGTTGTTAAATTTATTTGTAATTAGTGGCAAGTGTGTGTGTATTATGCTTTTCTAACTTGTTTGAAAGTGAAGTTTTAAGTTGTGTGTTTATATTTTGATACCGAAGAAATATAAAAATAATAAATTAATACGTCTATTATGTCTATGAACATCTGTGATGATCACACGAAACATCAGAGTCTGTTATCTTTAGCAGCTTTAGTTACCATATTGTAGGTTAAAGTTATTTTGAATAAAACCAATAGAACCACACTACGTTTATTTGTGATCTGAAAATTTTTCATAACAACTATAATCATATTTGTGATATAAATTTTATGTATATGTTCAAATCATGTCTATGTTTATAACTGATGAAATGTAGACTATTCTCGAGTTATATATAAATGAATGTTATTTACATTAATTTTTTATCAATAAATTAGATACCGTAAATGACGCTCACAAAGACTGAACTTATGAATGATAATACAATATCAGTTAATAGATGATATATTGATAGATAAGTTTAGCATACAAACTGACGATATCAAACACTGCCCGGTGTAGTCGACCGACTCACGTGAACCCATCAGATAATTTTCTTATGGAAAAAACCATTAACTTTGACCAGATCGTTAATTATTAACCATACCTACGCAATAACACACTAAACGCATCATAATATTTATGGTTTGATAACACATGTATGTTGCCTGGTAAAAACAGTAATGTGCCTATGGTTGACAGCAACTTAAGTTAATTGTTTGGGTGTTGAATGTATTGCGTATTCAATGAGACATACTTATAGTACATCTGTATTCCCTCTCGTAAAGCTTGTTTAAGAAAGGGCATGGATGTTATTATTTTTCTAACACTACCTAACATGCATTGTTTAAGTTATTATTAGATTCATAAAATTTACACTCTGTGTTCTATGATTTAACATTACACTTCCTGTAAGAATCTTTTATGTATTCTTATTGTTATTTTTTTGTTATCACTTTCATTTAGAATATGCAACATACGTTTTAAAACATGCAATAAATAACAGAACTAATTCCTCCATGTTCTGTTTGAGTTTTAATTTGGGTTTAATTTGGCATGAGTCTCAATAGTAGGCTCTGTTATGGTTTTGACTGGTGCGCGCTTTGCTACGGAAGCAAATTTATCTAAATAATTGAAGAGTAGTTATAACTTAAGTATTCAAAGGAAAAGCCCTAAGAAACAATTAATATAAATAAGGTTTTTGTTTAATTTACGACATAATGCTTACAGCCTTCATGCGCTTCATATCGAATTGTTTAACGAATGTTATCCAATAATAAAATTGAATAGGCCTATGTTGGTTTGTAAAATTCTTGAAGAGAAAAAAGAAACAAAACCAAGAAATGGGTAAAAGGCTAGAACCACTAGGTTAGACAATTAACAACTCCGCACACTAATTATTTAAACTAATATATACAAAATCTGATGGGGAGTTGCGATGGGGCCAAAGCCTCATCAAATAAACACTCACCTAACACTTCTCTCTGGATTTTACATAAGATAAATGATATACTGCAAGTTATATTTGGTCGAGCTTACCTCCGCCATTTTTGTAGACAAGATACGGAAAGCGCCAAACGTTGCCCAAACCAACAGCATATCCAATACATGCCATGATGAAGTCCATCTTACTCCCCCACGCTCCTCTATCTTCTTCCTCCTCCTCCTCGTCATCATCCTCATACATGTGTTTACCATTCTCAACTGTTTTAAATTCATTCAAAGAAATTGTAGCAAGGTTCCCGTTACTTTTATTAACTTCACCTTGTTCAATTGTCATATTGGAAGCCATGCTTGCTAAGTGTTGTTAAATTCGTTTGTGGATTTTCTTTAACTTCTCAACGCAATATTTTGCCTTTCGGTATTGTTGTGTATGTTACGGTACTGTACTGTTTCCTCAATGAAATATATTTACTGTCTGATTGGTAGCTTCATTCAGGAGATTGATATATCTCACAAAATACTGATTTACTTAGGGTGTCAGCGGCTTGAACTTTGTACCTGTACGTCCTAACCTATACCATTGTTAATAATAATTGTGTAACTCTTATCTTATGTAGAGGGCGTACGTCCTCACCTATACCGTAGCCTGTAATAATAAAATACCGTCATTAATAATAATTGTTTAATTCTTATCTTACAGAGAGCGTGTTTGCATGAAATATGAATGACACCTAGGTTATCACCATTAATTAGATATGATAAAAACTGGACGATTTAAGTGTAATTACCGAAACATCTAGATCCGCTTTTGTAGTTTAGTAGGCTTATCACTTTTTGCCAAAACTTTCATACATTTACATGTCATTAGGCTTTACTTATCATAACTAATGTATTGAAAACATACATAGATACCAGTACATAATTTATGGATCGCATGATTGTATCTTGTTCGATAACATACATGACACCATATATATATTTATATATATATATATATATATATATATATACATATATGTAATATATATATAATATGTATATAATATATAATATATAGTATATATAATATATATATATATATATAATATATATATATATAATATATTCAGGTATAAATATTGAATGTTGTTACTCCGTGTTTCACTCAGACAACTGTGATTAGGTGTTCTTACACTATTTATATTGTTCATAGAACAGAGGTGACTATATTGTTTTAGTACGGTTTGGTGGGTTGTTGTGGCGACACTTAGCAACTAGTTCGGTTCTTTTGTTTTTTGTGTTTAATTGGATTGTCATTAGGATTGCTAGTTTTTCTTCTATGCATTGGCCAGATTTGAGTTTGTGTGTCTTTGATTTCTTTATGATTTCCCATTTCAGAGAGTACCCATAGCCTTTTCTTTTATTTTCCGTAGGCCTATATGTTAAGAGAGAACTAATTTATAGAAAACATACACAGATACCGGTACATGGTTGAATTAGATTGCATGATTGTATTCTGTTCGATAAAAATTACTTTTTGGCCCCAATTGTAAGGCATTTGATGATGATGATGATGATGATGATAATGATGATGATAATGATGATCATGATGATGATGATGATCATGATCATGATGATCATGATAATTGATAATAGTAGGCCTACTGTATTTTAAGTAATTATTAGCTAATTGTTAAGTTTGAAGGAGAAATATGTTCTTATACCGTTTTTATATTCTTGTCATATACAGTATTACATTTTATAGATTAAAAAGTTTATTTTTAATTGGTTTCTGGCCATAGGTCATTGGACGGTTTATACGTGTACATATTTAAGTTGATACTTTTAATTTAGTAGACATGCACTGAAGAGGAACGCAGGCGCGTTCGAAAGTGTTATGTTTCAATGAATCAACGACTAACATCGATTTATTCTGTGTTGCAAACCAATTATCTATCTATCTATGCGGAACATACGTGACATCATATTAACTATCATATATTCATATATATAATATATATATATATATATATATATATATATATATATATATAT